CTGGCTCAGTATGGGGAAAAAGAAGTTTAGGCACCATATTACCAATTCAGAGCAGACACACACACATTTTTCTGCAATTTGGTCAGTCATGTTGGGAAGAACAGGGACAATGACCAAGAAAACATGCAGATTACAGGAAGAGACAAAGAAATGTAGGGATAGGGAGAGTGTGCTGTTTTGAAGGGTCCTCGCTTCAGCTGCTTTCACTGACCTCCCTGTACCTCCGACCTCCCCTATTCCCCTTTTCTGACCTTTCTTTCCCCCAGCTCAGGCTGCTCTCCCTTCCTTGTCCTCCATCCCCCAGCAGACCTGCTAGTGTAAACATCAGCCAACAAACTTTAGATTGCTGTAAAACTCAAAAGCGTAAAAGGAAAGTGCCATTTCAAAGAGAAACTACACCAGTAACATGCCCAAGTCCCATCCTTTCTGATAGCTGGAGTATGCTGTCGATCACAGCCCTCCATCATAAAATAAGCATTTTAAAAAAAATAGTTAATCTTTCCTGCTCTAGGCATCTGTCTCCCCTCAAGGAAAAAAAAAGGGGGCGGGGAGGACACAATAAAAAGATGAAGGACCCTGTTGGCTCCCACTCTGACCTCCTCAGCGAAGCAGTGAGAAAATGGATTGTTTTGGCAGGTTCATGTAATCTTTCTGCATTTCTAAAACACAGCTGCCCACAGGATGCAAGCCCTACATTTACATTACAAAGTGCAGAGAGGCTCTTAGAGATGGGACAGCATCTCTTTGTTTATTTTAACCATTAGCTCCCAAACCAAGCATATGTCTGTTCTGCTATTCAGAGGCTGTGGAAGGAGGAGAATTTCCTGAGAAAATTGAGAAGAGTTTCCTGGGACAGAGATCTAGGGCTCCTTGTATGCAGAGTTCACTCACTGTGGTGTTAAATCTGGGCAAAAGCCTGAGTCACGTGTTTCACCCTGCTTAGAAATAGGTTTTCAGACAAAAGAAGCCAATTAACCTGAAGCAGGTATCAACAGGGCAGCTTAACAATAAACCAATCCAAAACATGGAGTTTACTGTAACCTTTTTTTCACATTGATCTTATAAGCACACTTGAGATACAAAGATATCATTTCATCTCCCATCGCAGCAGCAGAATGAGGAAGCGATTAAAAGCCCTACCTACGTGGATCTCCTTCCCCAATTTGGGGAGATATTGCTGAGCCTCTGAGCTGTCGTAGAGCTACCAGCTTTGGGGACAGGGGAGCTCTTTGGCAAGGTGAAGGAATCCTGCATTGAGAAAACACGATGTTAGTAAGTATGAATGGACTATTTTGCAATCTGCTCCCCTTCTAACCAGGTCAATGGAAAAGACATCTCCCGAGCCAGCTTAAAGGAGGTCGTAGAAATACTCCAAGACACAGAGGAACAGATTACACTGGATGTGCATAGGCAGAAGTCTGCTCACGAGCCTCCCCAAACATCTGACGCTGCAACCCTGGTGGACTTCAGAGCAGGGAACGAGCAATGCTGCAAGGAAGAGAACTGCAGCAAATCAAGTTCAAATCTCTGCCTAGATGAGTATGTACAATGTGTTGCTTAAGGTAAAATGTCTCCTAGAAAGCAGCAACCATAGCTTGCAAAGCACAAGGTCAGCCAGCATCTCTCTATGCTGGATTTCTAATCAGCTGCATCCACTAACCTTAAAACAGGCTGATGTAGCTCCTGCCTAGCACTGGTTCTGTGGTTTGGCCATTCTGACAATAAAAATACAGTCCTCAGCATGCCAAAGCACGGAGCCAGTCCCTCTCACTGGGTTGGGCAAGGACCTGTGTTTCTGTTTGGCTCGTCCGCAGGGCTTTGATTACTTGGTGCCACAGGATTGCAACAGTGGTCATGAATCTAATCACCCACTTCCTGCACCCTGTGCCATGGGAAAAGACAACCTGAACTATAAGGTATCCCATCCCATTTTGCCCCCATACCTTCGGAAAAAACCTTTTTCCGTCACCTCGGCCTTACATCATCAGGTCTGCTAATGCAGATTTAACGTTCCCTGCTCTCACTGTACTTTCTGGCATTAGCCCTCGTTCATCAAGATGAGCTGAGTTTCAGCAGCTGTTACTCCATCCCTGCAGCTCTCTCCAGTGTCTCTGGGAGCTCGGTAAGGCCACGTCTCAGGCTGTTTACAGCAGTAGCAGGGAGAGCTTAAGGCAAGAGAGAAATCCTGCCGTTGCATATGGTTGGAGGATGCTTAGAGAGATGACTCATGCTCAGCCAGGGAGAATAGCCCCAAAGATATCTAACACCTTGCGGGTGTTTGTTTGTAGGCAGAAAGCAGAGGAGCATGCATTTCCCCATCCCGAGCAGGACAGTGGCCTGGGCTTTACAGACACCAGCACTCACCCAGGTGAGAATTCAGGGCCTGATGCAGGAGCAGAACCAGCCTGTGGCCAGGAAGGTCCCAGCACATCTGTACGGAGAGGGCTACTTACGGATGACTTCCCCACCTATGGTGAGTTAAGCGATTCTAGTTTCTGTGGTGTAAGCGCAGAGGAGTGAGGAAGATTTCAAGAAGTCCTGGAAAGGAGATGCAGCGAGTACCGATCCATTTCCAGGCAACAAGAAATGCGTCATGAGCCAGGAGGCCAGGAGCGGGGCTGCAAGCAATGCAACCAGGACCAGTGGCTCCCTACGTGCCTTCGGGCTGGTGAAGATAGCACCCGAAGAGAGAAAGGGCTGCAGCACAAGGGTGAACTCTGCCTGCAGGGTGCCACGAGTGGGGACAGAAATAAAGCCAGCGAGAACAAGCCATCAGCACAGGCCAGAGACGTGTGCCCCCCACCACACATCGCTGTCGGCTCAAAAGAGCTTACAATTCCTCACCACGTGTGTCATCACAGGAGCTACATGAGCTTGCTGCAGGAAACGGCTGCTGCGGAGTGCCTAAGCGACCCGGCTAGCGTGTCAGCGAAACCAAGGCGATGCAGCGGAAGCCCAGAGGGCAGAGCAAGGGCTAACGGGAACAGATGGACGCTGGCATGCGAAAGGAGCAAGCGGTCCTTGAAGAGGCAACATAAGAACTGGCTGCTAAAGGACAGGGCTTTGAGAATAGCAGAAGAACGAAGCGGACTGACCACAGATGAGGACGCCCATCATTCCCACAGATGAAGACTGGGAAATACAGGAATAAAGCTCAGAGAAAGCAGCACATGGTCCTAGCCAAGGAACAGAGAAAAGTATTGCAAAGCCAGCGAGAACAGCTGAGAGAAGACAAAGCCAGCACTGAGCACAGGAGAACCTTCAGTATTGTGGAGCTGAGTCAGAGCAAACTGATGAAGAACAGAAGCAAGAAAATCTTGGACAACTGGATCACCATCCAGGAGCTTCTGACCGATGGGACCAGGTCACCAGATGGAAGGAGGACATGCAGTCCCTTGCTGTCGGTCACAGCTGTGTAGCAACCCTCCTGTGCCTTCCCAGAGGGTCGCGCCAGGCATCAGGGAAGAACAGTGCATCTTCCGTCACTGCAGGACTGTTCCCCGCAACGTTTCCAAACTTCTCCTGGTTATTGTAGCCATTAAAGTCCCCCTGCAGAAACAGGGAACTCGGTAGAACTACAGATGACAGGCTTGCTTCTCTACCCACATACCTCTAGACAACCCCGGGCTCCACAGATCACTGTCCTGACATACTTATTACTGACTTCACTGTACATGAGGATCTGGCTCACTACATTTCAGTCCTATTTTTTTTTATATAGGATTCTCTGCAAATAAGGTATTTACTTCCATATCAATCTCTTTCTATATTAAAGCTTTTTTACTATTTTTTCTTTTTACGAGAAAAACAACAGTATGCTTCAATCTTTAATATTAGTCGTATCATTATTCTCCCCAGAATCGGCTGTGCTATGCATTCCTGTACTTTAGTTCACAGGAAAAAAAAAAGAAAGAGAAACAGACTTAGTAATATAGTTGTTTACTGTAAAATAAGAGACAGAAAGTAGAAAAAGAAGGCACTTAATAGGTCCCTCTGTGGATTCTACCAAGAGGGAAACAATACTCCCTACTGAGTTGCTGCATGTTTTATACTCAGTAATCACCAGGAAAAATGAAAGATCCACAAGCCCACTGAACTCTTCCCTTCCTCCCCCTTTAAAGATTTTAGGAATGAGCTCAGCTCTGAGTCATGATTAAAATCACCCAGTTATGTTCCTACGCAGCAGTGCTCAAATTGAAAATTTTCTTGTGCTACCCAATGCTCCCTGCTTTGCTATTCTACACTACAAAGGAAGCAGGGCAAACTGCAAGCTATCACTTGAAAATACTTTACAGTTTTCCAGGCTCTAGTGCGGGGAGATAAATCTCTCTAGAGAAAGCAAGCAGTGGTGGTCCACCCCTCATCCCCACACCTGCTGAGACCAGACCACTTGGATCTGATGGACAGGACACCACCCAGTCAGGAAACGTGGTTCGTAAGCCCACCTTGAAAGCATCCTTACTTCTTTGTACCTCTTGCTGGAGAAACACCATCATCTACCAAACAATGATCTGTGCCAGCTCACATCACCACGGAGTTCTGGGCAAAGCAGAAGAAATTCGAGGAAGACAGGAATCAAGGATCACAAGTTATTAGCTAAATAAAAAAAAAACAAACCCCAAACACCTAGAGGTAAAATAAAGGCCAGCTAGAGGAACATGGCAAGCTAGTTAGCAGCAAGCAGTGGGTAGTTTTTGTGGCTCAGTGTCCTCTAACTCCTGTCTGGGCCTTTCCAGACCATCCTTTCACACAATGCAGAGGCAAACTGCCTTGCTCCATTTGGAGCTACTGTCTGCACTAGTCCATTAAGACTCAAGCTCTGGTGCTACAGTCCTGTACTAACTTACCAGACTCTGAAGCTTAAGATAGTATTTGGTAATAAAGTCGGTCAGCCCGAAAAAAAATTACAAACATCGCCATGAAATACTGCATCAATACTAATAAAGAGACAGAGACAAGCAGTTGTGTTAAATCTCAGTTCATTTCTCTGCAGCTTTCCTTCACAAAATCTTCTGCAAGAAGTAGAGAGCCATGCTCACCAAGACACCTCCTACCACTCCACTTCCAACTCCTACCAAGCATTCATAAAACAGTTCTCTTTGCCAAAAGTGCTGCTGCTCTTGCACTTCTTCATGGGTGCTGTTTTCTGTGTTTCCTTCCTCCTCATTTGCTGCTAACTTCTGTTCCCAGGTCAAGGATTTTTGGAAGTTCAGATTCACTAAGTCATTTGGGATCACTCTGACCCCAAAGTAAACCCTCTTGATGACTCTGAATGTCTTCAACATCTGCACATCACATCGGTAAGTCCCTGCATCAGACTCCCTGGTAGGGGAAAATCTGATGACAGAATCTGGGGTCTTGAAGGGTTTGAACAGTAGATCATTTGTGGTGATGAGACCTTGGGCAAGCCTCCATCTATAGCTATAGGCTCGGCTACCAAAGTCAACTGTGTCCAAGGTCAGGCAGCTGAACTGGAAGGGTTTGCCCACAGGGACAGTGAAGTGGAGTAAGCCACAAACCCATCTGGTCAGGCAGTGGGACCTGCGCAAGGTACAATTCCTCCTCTCTCCGTCGGCAGTGATCTCGCACATCTCCTCCAGTTTGAAGCCCGGCCCACAGGTGACGCTGCAGGATGTGGTGTTGACTACAATTTTCACTACAGCTGACTTCAGCTCTGCTGGGATGGTAACTTTTTCAAAGGAAACTACCAATGGTAGATAGAAAGCACAAAGTAACAACCCAAGGATGTGGCTGTTCCGCAAGGTCTTCATAGCGGGGTTATCAATCAGACATGCTGCTTTCTAAAGCTGCGCAAATTCAGCAGTCAAAAAAACCCAAACCCACACATCATTCTTGGTAAACCTTCAAACTAAGTATTTCTGAAATTCCACCAGCATCATCTTCAAGACACAATCCTTTTGTTAGGAAAAATCTTCCAACAAGACAGGCTCAAAGTACAAGGCTGCTAAAGAAGATGCAACACGTTACTATGTCGGTCAGAGTGCGAATCACAAGTTCCAGTTCTTGTAACACAGCAGCAGGATGTTTTAACCCACTATATTCCAGTGATTGGGGTCTGTTTGACAATTTAAAAAAGGATTAAGTCCTCCCTTCTCTGTAAGATTTTACACACTATTTTAAATTCATGTCCACTGTGAAGAAGTACTGTTCCAGTTTAATTTTCCCACCAAATTATAAAACGATATAAGTAATCTCTAGCGGAACCTTTAAAACAATGCTGTTGAGAATAAGGAAATCCTAATTCTTTACGCAGCACCTGCACAGTTGTGTCTTGTACACACATATCCCAAAACCTAAAGTACTCCCCAAATTACCAAGATCACAGTAACAGTTATTTCAACCTCTAAATAGTCTGATGGCACTGACATCAAAGGCAATCTGACAGTATTTTATCACTGGTGATATCCATCTCCACACAGGGTTCTGTGAAGTTGCTCACGTTTCCGTGAGCCCGTGTTCCCAGGGGAGCAGTGCTGAGGTCACAGTCCGGCTGCGTGGGTCAGAATGTGGCCCCAAACCTTCCAAGGGAGAACAAAGAACTCCCCCAAGTCTGAAGCCAAAGCGAGCCTTCTCAGATGAGGACTCAGCATAAAAGCATCATATTAGGCTCCTGACATCCACTACCAGACTCCGAAAGGATTCAACAGTACTCGCCTCATGGCAGCACTCAGAGCTGCGAGCCTGAGCCCCGTGCTCAGCATCAGGTACAGCCACCGACTTACACATCTGAGCCAAAATCTCCACATTCAACTAGTGCATCTGTAAAACAGAAACCACCTTTGTGCTGCCATTGCAGCAAAATGCTTGAAGAGGTGACATCCCAGTGTAATTCGCTTAGTGCTCAAGCATCCCGAAAGAGTAACGCGCTACTAAAAACGTTCTTCATGAAAACAATCAAAGTTACTTGTTTTTGATGGAGTAATTGAACTGCGGTCAAGGCAGTTCTACAGTCAGTGTCTCCTTACCAGCAACTGAATTATGGACTGCAGAAGGGATTTGGATTGCCATGTTCTTCAACAGCTCTGCTAATGAATATCCCTATTTCTAACACTCCTTAATTTATTAAAATGAAGGCTTCCGAAGATCTAGTGCATGTATTTTCCACATTCAGTTTCCCTGCAGGTGCACTCTACACCCCGCACACTTTGTGTTCAGCTCCCCTTTCGCATGCCTGTCTCAGAGCGCCTAGGCTGCACTCAGCCATACAGGGCTTTTATTAGACTACAGATTTACTCCTGCCTCTTGAAAAGAGATCATCAGACAAATGCCACACTAAAAAAAAAAACCAAACACCACCACACCAGCTGTGGTGAAGGCACAACATGTTTGTGTTTGCCCTGGGGCTGTATTGTATGATTCCTAAACATTGTCACAATACAAACATTCACAGAAGTATCGAAAAGCCAAGACTTACCCATTGACTTTAGGAAATAAAACATACCTCTTTATTTACAAACACAAAAACTAACATCACTGCTATATACTACCATCAAGTCAGTATCTGACAAATATTGTACAAAACTACAGATACCAAAAAATAAAATAAAAGATGGAAGAAAATAAACCAAGGACATATACACTGTACAGGCAAGTTTTAACACAAATAAAGGCTGGAGTCTGTGGCAAATTGTATGCTTTAAAACAATCTAGAGAACCATTGCCTGTGCATCTCTTAAAGCTTGTGGGGTCAGCCACACCACATATGGGTGGATTTGACATAACAGTGTTCCAGGAAAGATGTGAGTCATCCTACAAGCAGAAAGAACAAAAAACCCTAATACTGTACACAGGGGAATGAATTTCATTAAATGAAGCAGGCCACCATACCAAAGCCATAAATTAAAATACCAGTTTTAAAAAACCTTCTGATTTAAAATGTCTCCTCTCTTCCCATGCTTATATCTCATGCAACTACTGCATACTTCCGACTGCAAATTAATAAATCTCTTTATGACTCCTCTTCTTGGTTTTTAATGTCTGCAGGATATGTTGAAAATTTAAATACGCAGTGATAATCTCAATAATTACATCTGGGGAAAAACTGAAAGTAATTGCATAGGAACTATAAAAGTCTATAAAACAAGGGGCATTAGGAATGAAAACTTTCTTTTAATAGGCGGTTGGTCTAGTACAGAGAGGTGTCAGGCTGTAGGTAACGGATAGGGGAAGTGTCTCTTCCCATTCCCACAAGGAAAATATCACAACCGTCTGTAAGAAATAAAAGGCTAAAGCATGGCTGGGAATGAGCTGTTAGTAGCATTCATCTTCCTTCCATTCTTGATCGAGAAGTAGGAAAAAAAACCTGAAAAACTACTGTTTCAGTCCGGAGAAATATTGGTTCTGTTTTTTCTCTAACTGCCAGTACCTACCAGCTAAGGAGGAAACCAATTGTTTCTGGCAGGGTATCTCACAGGAAAGAGACAGAATAAAAACACTTGCAAGGACAGAAAGAAACTGCCAACACAGCTTTTCATACCACAGGCTAGAAGAAAGCATATAAACTGAGCATTTTATCTAGAGCTACTTTAACTTGTTCCTTTTTCCCACAAGCAGAGTCATCCTTCATGTCTAAAATATTCACAATATGAAGATTCATTCTTTGCAGACTTCAGAGGGTGTCGTGATTCTTCACATTAGATCTCTATCCACTTGAGATTAAATCAAACCTGGCACATAAATCAGCAGCAGTGTTTCACTAAGCATGTCAGCACAAAAGACATCACACTGAGCTAACAGAAAAGCTGATAAGGGAATGCAGCTGGCATAGAAGGACTTACAACTCACTGAAACAAAAATTAACAGCAAAGAAAGGGAAGTTTGCAGGATACAGTGTCATACGGCATCAGGAATAAAAATACACACTTTGGGTATTCTTCAATCCAGGAACAAAAAAAAAAATTAAAAGACAATGGCTGATAAGCTCTGGAGTGGCAGAGTGATAGGTACCAGCTCACATTAGAAATAGTTATATATGTCAACACAAAAGCAGTCCAATTAGTCTCTTTGCAAATTGCATGACCTGAGAGTCAGCATCTTACACTGTTCCATGAAGAGGCAGTTAAGGAGGAATGAAGGCCGTTTCCTCTTCCATATTCATTTCTTACAAAAGTCACTCCCTGAATCCATGAACAATCAGTCTGCTGTATTAGTCAGTCCATTCTGACTGAGCATTGCATCTATTTTCCACATTATGGTGCCAATATAGGAAAGAATACAGGAAGATAAAGAAGAGTGTCTTCATAACAATTCTGAGATTGCACCACCTGCTAAAGAGATCAAAGACAGGTGAAAAATAAGTAACCAGACTCAAACAGATGTTACCAGAAACCAGAGACCACCAAATATGGTAGCATTTCCAGAAAAAAAATGAAACAGAACAAGATTTTGTAGATAAAGCCATTGTTTTCAGAATGAGATATCATCAACAAGATACTATCTATGACAAATCAAGATCTCCAGTATTTCTGCATTCATATTTGAGATCACGTCACAAGCATGGACAAGATGGCTAAGCAACTCTGAGCTTTTACTGCACAAAGTTGCAAGCAAACTTACCTGGTATAACATTTTTTGATTCATCAATCCCAAAATCTCAGAGCAAAAGCGCAACTGAAAACAATAAGTTTCACCTAAGTTTGGGTTAAACCAGATTGCCATAAGATTTTCTTCTAAAACTGTAAAATGGATCAAGCTTCTCACTTCTGTTTACACTGAAACCTGATTTTGACACAGGAGCTTTAAGAAGACGACCTTTACTGCCAGACTGCACAGCACAGTGACACAGACACACTTGCACCAGGCTCCAAGTCCCAGCCATGCAGCCTGCAGAAAGACATTGTATTATGGCACATCAGCAAACAGTTTCCAGAGGAGAAATGCTTGTTGTGTGACTGTTTTAATGACCAATTAGTTACTTCAGAAAGCAACAGCACAAGAAACTAGCAGAATTCATGCACGAGAGGCAGAAAAAGCAGTCTGGCTCCAGGATCCCAGGCAGGTGGCCATTGGAATTTGGAAGCGTGTATTTGTAAGCAGTGGAACACCAGCAACCCCAAGAAAAAACTGGCTGCCCAAAATAGGAATTGTAAATGCAAGCCATAAAGAGAGCAAAGGAAGACAGACAGGAACTTCATGGACTAAAAGACTCCTGTGAGTTTGGAAAGATCCAAGTGACAATTTCTTTCAGTGGACAATCTGTTCTTCTCATAGCGTGACTCATACAGATACTTCCAACACTGACTACTGAGATCTACTGCGTGGATCTGTTAGATCCTCTTAAGCCAACAGTACTGTAGAAGGAAGCCCAGTAACAGGTCCTAATGAGAGACAGAAGTCCATCATAGCGATATTGATTATTTGCCTATATCTCAATCAAGTTAAAGAACACCATAATGGAAAAACACCTTAAAGTTGCTTATAGGCAATAAAGACTACAAGTAAATTTTAGAAATATCTACCATCTCCAGTAGATGAGTAAAGTAAGTAGGGAATCGGGTCTAGATCTATTCGTTTGTAAGAAAAGAAAATTTCCATTTTACAGTGTCCAAAAACCTAAGCTAACTGTAACTGACACAGGTATGTACATCCCAAGCTCAGCTGCAGTAAAATTCCACTGTTGTTTCTTCTAGCAAGTCAGACTATATTATAACAACTGTAGGAGCATTACAAGCAAAACCACACAAAAATCTTTCCAAACATGGCTTTGCAAGGACGTGTGAAAAAACAAGAAAGGAGTCTGTCTAGAATGCTGTTTCATTTGAAACATGTTAGAAGAAATGGGAGTATTATTTTCCCAGCTCTCAGCACAGACCGACGCAATAGTGATCACAGGCTGCAAGAAGAAAGTACACTGAGATCTGTCTACAAGTGTAGGTCAAGCAAATTCATAAAACAAGTTAATAACAAAGTTACATAAACACAGCTTGAAAAAGTTAAACAAAAAATACTTGCTATTAAAACTACTTCTCTGAAAACAGACTGCTTATACAGCTACTTAAACATGGAAAAGTCAAAACATCCAGCATTGTTTTCTTGAGGCAAACTGATGACTGCAATTCGTTTTGGAAGCCACGGTGTTAAGTTTCCAGTACACGATCCCTTCTCATTTATAGCCTTTTGCATACAGTCATGTTAATTAGCAGTGTGATAAAAGAAAGCAATCAACAGGCCTACTGATAAAACTAACGGTTATACTCATTTGGTCTTCAAACCGGTCTTGTCCGTCCAGCATGGTACAACAGAGCGGTCAGAACATGTAACAGATGCCAGCAAAGACACCTGAGGATCCACATTATCCAGATAATGATCCAATTCCTTACTATCTTACTTTAAAACATACTGGATGCCCCCTAATGACTTGAGAAGTCAAAAGAGAATCACCCTGTCTGGTAAATCTGACACTAGAAGCTAATCAGTATGTCCCAGGCTACAAACGGGGTCTAAGGATATTCTTGGCTATCCGTTTAATTTCTGGGTTTTGCAAGGTTGCAGCATGAAAGGATTAAATGGAAGCCCAGAAAACACCCACCATTTTTTTCCACGTATAGACCAAGTTACTTTTATCCCCATTCCTTTTTTCTGCAAATAGCAATTATCAGTACTAGTTACAAGCAACGTAACAGGGGCTGAGCAGGAAGGACAATGAGCAAGGTGGGTAGCATAGGACCAGCAGTGAAGGAAGGAAGGGGGGGAAAATAAAATCACTTCTCTACAGTCTCAAGTCCACAGCAGCAGCTGCTGAGTTCAAGGAAATGCAAAATTTGATCTATTACATTGTGCCTTTGAAACTGTCTATGTATCAACCCCGAGTTCTTCATTACAATCTAAAAGAATATGGAGCTTAATCCAAATGTGTGCTTTCTTTACTGTGCTTGCGTGAACTTTTCCCAAATAAGAAGCTGAAGTAGCAAATGAGACAGATGGGAATTACATAGACTCTAAGTCTGGGCGCCAACAAAGGTGACTGCAACAGTCCTGTTTTAGTACACAACCAACAAAAATAGACCAAAAAAAAAAAAAGGAGAAAAGTCCACCAAAACCTATCCTCATTTACAGCAGCTGTACTTTCTGGAAGTTAACTAAGGCTGCTGTACAGCTAGGAATAGAAAATTCAGCTCCTGAATTTTATCTCAGGGTTCGTTTATCAAACAGACCATTACAGATGTTCCATTTCCTAGTTCTGCTTGCAGAACTTTTCTGTTTTTTATCACTCTGCCTAGTATTGATGGCACAAAATTATCAACTTCAGCTTCAGAATCCTTCACTATTTACATTTTCCCCCCTCAAAATCGATCCACCAAAACCAAATATTATTACTGTTTATGTAAGAGTTGATAGAAGTTATCAAAAAGATTAAAGGTTCAAAAGATTTCTTGCTCTTGAAATAGTGCTGAATCTCTATTAAAAACCCTACAAGCTCTTTATATGCAATAAAGCTGATATCCATGCCTGTGTTATTACAAATATTGAAAGCACTTCCACTTTAAAAAATATAAAATTTTGCCTATCCTTGACAGCAGCTAAACATTTAGCGAGCAAGTGCCATTTGGAAAAACAAAATGCTATGACTATATTAAGTCAGGGTCTGTACAAAGCAGGGCCACCAAGCAAGCCAACGACGCTCACGCTGGGTTCCTTACCTGTCAAAGGCTGTCCCAGCTCCGCCTGCACTTTACCCTTCGCTGCTCCTTCCAGAGGTAAAGCACCTCTGTCCCCTTTGTAGAGTTTCGGTTTAAATGGAGAATCTTTGTCTTTACCTTTTGATCCTTTAGGCCTGCCTGCTTGCTTCTTCTTGGATTTACCATCTCCCTTCACACCCAGCAGCGGATGGACTTCTGTGGAGAGACAATGTGTTGCCAATGTGAATTATCCCTTAAGATGCTTATATCAGCACATACAGCCCTTGGTGTTAGATACAAAAAGCATTAAAAATTACAGTTTCAGGAGGCCTTCATTCATTCCTAGCTTGCAAACTGCCAGCAAATTTGCAGAGTTGGTGGCTATTAATAACTGTTCTAAGAAGTGACTTCAAAGGAAGGAGAAAATTACGGAGAGAACTTCTGGTTTTCAGACAAAGCTAAGGCAAAGCTAAAAACCATCGCAGCTGCAGAACAGGCACCAAAACAATGGCAGCTTCTACGCACCATCATTAGGTACTCCTTGTAGTTCAATGTTGGTGGTTTTGGGCTTCTTCTTTGGTGCCTGAGGTCCATCAGAGGAGGACTGCCTCTTCTTCTCAGAACCTATTCCCTCATCTGTTAAAGAACTCTGAACCGCATCTGGCGGAGGTCCATAGGGGTTTTCTTCGGGATCTTCAACTTCAGGAGCAATGGGTAAGTAAAGCAGAGCCTTGGAATCCTCCAGTTCTTCATCGCTGTGAAGGAAAAAAATTGCTTTAATTTAAAACTAGGGGTTATTATGACGTATTATACAGGGAATCTTAGTGATACATTTTGTATTCACACTTTAAGCAAAACATTCTTTCACCTGCTACAGAAGGCAGCAATGGGATCCACACTAGTTACATCCACTTCTTCATCTTCTGCAGCATCAGCACCTAAGAACCACAGAAAAAAGATGAATTAAAGACAGTAAGCAAAAGGCCAAATTCCTTAGAAAGAATGGGACTGACTGTACTAAAGTGTCTTAGCATGCAGAAGTGAGAATTAAAGCAGAAAGCAAACCTAAAGTATTTCCTCTTAAATTCATCAGGTTTTCATTTTATTTTTCTATGTTCTAATACAGACCTAGTGTAATAAAACACCAGTAATAAAGGTAGATAAAAGATTTACAATCTTCTAAATGTTTTGTTGTTTTCACTAAACTAGTTCTGAATCTGATGAAATTTATTTTAATGCTTAATTCCCACAAGCCAACGTTACACTTGAATACTAGAAACTGCTAAACAACAAATTAATCTAAATACACGAAGTGCTACAAAGCCTGGTAATGAGGACAGCTCTGTGGTACGCCGGGAATAATCCTTATTTCTTTCCATAGTTTAACCGTAGCCTTTCAAAGTACCCAATTTTTTGGCACCACCAAGTGGCCAGGTTGCACTGCTTTTGATTCAAATTCAGCACTGCTGCTGTTGAGAGCAAGCCTGCACAACACATGTCCATTTGCTACCGTTTTCTGCTTAAATGTGTATTTTTATTTCTAAAAAAATGCTGTATGTCAATTGGCAGGAATCATATTGATTGCGTTAGTTCATACATCTTCATTTATCTACTCTTGTTTCACCATTTAATACAGATGTACGCTACCGTGACCACTAGTTTTAATTTTCACTATAGTCATCTAGTCAGACTACAAACTGTTTGCTACATAAAAACAGTTTATGCAGTACCTGTTTGTTCTGGTTCGCTCTTATCTTCATCTTCAATGTCAAACTCTGACTCTCTCTCTTCATATTCTACATTTTCATCCAGCTCTTTGAAGTCAGGCGCAAAGGCACTCCAGTTTTCCTAAACCACAAATTCAAATCGATTTTTCCCTTATGCAAAGGAACAGCAGCTATAGTGAGGACTCATGCAATTACAATCTCATTTTTGCATTAAAATCCCCCAAGCCACACACAAGATCACAAAAAAAATTTAAAAAACACAAAAAAATGAAGCCTCATTTAGGTCTGCAGTCAGATGGCAAATTAGGAGCTGCACAAGCTAGTTCCTACTGAAAATACAACATTTTAATATTCCTTAAGTATTGCAATGTATGTCTGTATGTTCAGATTTCCTGTACTTAAACAACACATTCAGAAGGACACCATTCTCACATAAAACGTCCCTGTGACAATATTTAAGACTTAACGCGAAGCTTCACTAGGTCAGCAACTGAAGTACGAACGAGTACCCTCCTCACATTCATATGCCAAGTTAGGCAGGTGAACTTAAAAAGCTTGTTGAATGGGGATTTAATAAAGGATTTGAAAATGCAATCATTCAGTCTACTAGGATGGATATCACTGGGGAATTCTCTTAAGGAAATGATCTAAAACGCTTACCACTTGATTCTGAGCCCATATTGACACAACACCACTCGAAATAGAAGCTATGATCGGTCGCACAGGATGCCACTAGATTTATTTGAAAGAGAAAAGAGAAGGAGCTTAACTGGTAAATGGAATTAAGAAAGCTTAGTTTTCAAAATAACAGGAGACATAGTAATAGCAGACAGTTTTCTTACTGCTACATCCAAGAGCAGCTCTCCTCTGGTCCCGTGGAGGATTTTCACTAGGTTTCCAATACTCTTCTCCCAAATGTAGAGGGCATGCTGCCGTGCTGAACCTGCCACTATGTATTCGCCATCACCAGAGAAACAGCACTTCTTCCACGGTGTCCTGCATGCGAGTTAAACAGTACAACAGCACAACATGGAGGAGGGAGGAATGTGGAGTGGGCTGGTTCTTCAGACTGAGATCTTACATACTGCCATGCACAAATAATATTTTAAACATCAAATCAAATTGTGACAAACAGGTTTCAGATGAAAGCATCTGTCCATTACACTGAATAAGACACTGAGCTACCCTTCACCCAGAGACTCCCATTAGCATCAAGCACACAAACCTCACCTTTTCAAATCAGGCTGAGCAGTCATCCTGCTGCCTCATACCTGTTCACTAAATCCTGCAGCTTCTGCATTGGTTCAGGCTCCCCATCTCGTCCACAAGTTAGAATTTCACGGCCATCATAGACCCTGATTATCCGGTCAGCTGTGTTTATTAAAAAGCAGCTGCAGGAAGGAGGGCACAGAACATGCATTGCATTAAAAGACTAAGAAAATAAAAAGAATCAGAATATGTTCTATGAAGGAACTGTGGAGGGGTTTAAGACCTTGTATTCACTGTCAATCTACCCTATAGTTTTCAATTCACCTTTAAAGCTACCACTTCATAGAGAAAGTAACTCACCTTCCTTTCCGTGCAAATTCAATCGATTTAATAGCTGTGGTGTTGCTGGTTCCAGTTGTCACTCTGAAGGAAGCAACAAGATCCTGAGTGTCTGTTTTTAAGACCAAGATCTGAAGATTAAGGAGACAGAAGGCAATCAGTGTCTTCATTATAATTCATTCCCCTTTTGGTACCTTTCACATCAGCTACTAACCCTGACAAGAGAAGCCTCAGCAATCTACACAGGAATAGTTGGGATTCTGCAACTGTAGTTTCTACTACAGTTTCTGCGACAGTTCTGCGACATAAACATTGGTTTATTTACACTGGAAAAGGATCCAACAAATATGGTCAAACAGCAACACAAAGACCTAACTCAGACAAAGTATTACTGTCTAGAGATCTTCAAAGATAAAATGTGATGCTTTATTCAGAAGCTCGTATCAGCGCAATATCGATTATTCAAAAGACATTCAGGAAGCCTTATTTGTGTATTAAAACAAAGAATGCAACCCAGAAACGTTAAGCATCTTGATAAAGACAGGAAGTAATCTAAGCTCCTGCATCCAGTGCCGCCTGCTAAAGTCTCACCTTCCCCTTGGCATTGCCCGTATAAATGTATTCCCCTCGCCTGTCAAAGGAGGCCACAACATTGAGATCAGAATCATCATCCACAGGTAGGACAACATGTTTGGAGTCTGACAGCGTTAGCATCACCGGCGCCGACTTCATGGGACAAACCAAAACTCTGTTTCTGCAAAGCAGAAAAAGAGGAGTTAGTAGTTTCTTCTCTGGAAAAGATGTTTCCATGTTTGGAAATAAGAAAAAAATCTCAACCTATATCAAAAAATGCAGAATACTGTTGTATTTTTATTATCTTATTTCGTCTTTGTTACTTTAATCACAACATGACGTTTAGCTGGTGTCTACTTTCATTTCCTTTCTTTTTCTAGAAGCTTCTCCAAGTTTATGCAGTAACTTGTAAACTCAACAAGGCATTTCTGTACACATTTCTAAGAATTATTCTCTTGTTTACTCTCCTCCCTTCCTGATATTTGCATAATAAAAAGAGCCACAACAAATCCAGTTGGAGTTCTAATCACAAAAAGAAGATACACTGACAGCATCTACTAGATTCGGAAAAACTAACTTTGCAAACCGCAATAAAAAGAATTTAATAACCTTTAGTTCTAGCAAAATCAAAGCAGTTCTACCACAATGGGAGCATTTAACCTTTTTTTCACAGGACTTACTGGTCTCGAGGGTGGTACTGAACTTTCAAGATAGGCGAGGGAAATCGAAATCTCTGGTCGCAGTCTCCGGAAAGCACATCCCACTGGGACACAATGTTATCGGTCGAAGCACTCACCAGTTTGTGACCATCTCGACTCCAGCTACAGTAACAAGAAGCAGTCCAAGTAAAAGTTACTCCTTAAATACATAATACATCTACAGATTAACATTATCAGACCAAGCTATCAGGCTCAGATATAAATCTGTTAGCCTGAAAAATAACGTAACATCCAAAAACTCAACAGGCATAACACATTTCCAAACTCTCCTAATCCTAAAACATAATCGAATATCCCGCAACGGGCTGGCGTTTCAGCAATCAACACACCCAGGTGTTAAGAGCTGTCAGGATATCAGAGCACCTGATGCTCAGCAAACACAGGCATGGACAAATTCTAACAAAAAATGAGAATAGCCTTTCACGCCTGCTGCATCAGCTACAAGCTCTCGTACAACTAAGTATTGAATTCAGTCTTTCAGAGAGAAAAAGTGTCTTTTCTCACCATAACGAGCAGACGGGGTGAATGTGAGCGCTTATGATTTTGGCGATGCCCCTGGTCAGGAAGTCCCAGATGACGATGCGCCCGTCGTTGCAGCCCACGGCGAGCAGCGTGCCCCAGCGGTTGAAGGTGCAGGTCAGGGCCATGCTGATGCAGTCCAGCGTACCATCGGCCTCCT